TTCAGGTATTGAAGCAGGTAATCACTCTGTTTGTTCTTTGTATCATGGGAAAGCAGTCTTTTGCTCTCCTTTCCCTGCTTTTGGATTGGGGTATATAAGCATATGGAAAAGAAATGTGGGACAAATTCAGTATTCACTGGATTGCCCTGTGGGTTCTACTCTGTGTCTCTGTCCCTTTTTTTCATATCTCTGTTCCTCCTATCTAATATTTCTAATCTACATGTTCTACCCTGAAACATAAGAACCCCTTCGAGGAAGGACCCCGACAGATATCGCCCCAACATGGGGCCTCAACTCACAATGCTTATTAATTGTGGGAAGAGAGGAAGAGAGACAGAAACAGAAAGACAGAGAGAGAGAACTAGGAAGTATTCTATTAGAATTAATGTCAGTTCTGTGGGTCAGAGGGACATCTTGTGCTTTCAGATGTGATACCCTGGGGACATTGTCCATGAAGCATTCCAGGTAACAGTGAAGAATGTCATGAGGAAATGTCAAGCAAACACAAAATGAGGAACTTTCAAATAAAAGAAAAAGGATAAGGCAGGAGTATCTTTTTTAAAAAAATATTTATATGTATTGGTATTGAGTCTGCATATATGCCTGTGTATGACATGCATACCTGATTTCCATTAACGTCAGAGGAGGGCATTAAATTTCCTGAAACTAAAGTTTCAGGTAGTTGCAAGCTGTCAAGTGGGTGCTGGGAATTGAATCAAGGTCCTCTGGAAGAGCAGCCAGCATTCTTAACCACTGAATCATCAAAACAGCCCCATGGGGGTCTGGAGTTTGTACCTTTTAAAATGTCAGCTATATAATATATAACATGTGAAGTAAAGGAGGTATATTAATTATTCATATCTTTGCTGTAATCAAACACCTGCAAAAAGCAACTTCCGGGGAGGGCTTCTTTTGGCTCACAGTTCAGAGGAGCCCAGTCCATCATGGCCGCTTATCTACAAACCAACAAGCAGAGGAGAAGCAATAGGACTCGTCTGGCTTTCTCCTTCTTCCCTTTATTCAGTTGAGGACTCCCCCCCAGCTCACGGGATGGTGCCACCCATGTTCCCAGAGAGTCATCCTCTGAAAACTTCCTCATATTAGCCAAAGGTGCACCTCAATAATACCCCAGGTGTTTATTAACCCAATCAAGTTGACAATAAATTAACTATCACAGAGAAAGGTTGGACTGCGAGTGGCTGATTAAATGAATTAGGCCAGCCTGTTCTACAAGAGCGAGTTCCAGGACAGGCTCCAAAGCTATAGAGAAACCCTGCCTCAGAAAGAAAGAAAGAAAGAAAGAAAGAAAGAAAGAAAGAAAGAAAGAAAGAAAGGAAGGAAGGAAGGAAGGAAGGAAGGAAGGAAGGAAGGAAGAATCACATAGTATTTAAGATTAATGGCTGGGCTGTGATGTAAGAGTGGAAACATATAGAGAAGTCTTCACAGGTCATAGATGTGGTGTATGAAGTTCGAGATAGTCCAGAAAAACAACAAACCGATAAACAAAAATTAGAAAAAGAGCCCACTGTGGAGGGCACACTGTGAACGCCTTTAATCCCAGGACCCATGAGGCAGAGGCAGATGGATCTCTGCGATTCACAATACCAGAACCGTCTACATATGGACTGTTAGGAGTTCTAGACCAGGTCAGAGCAGATCTACATAAAATGTAGCAACAACAAAAAAAGCCCACAGTGATTTAGCATGAGACAGGTGTGAATTCTGCAAAACTGGGTAAAAGGCATATATGCATATATATATATAGGAGTTTTAATGTAAATTTGAAAACATCTCACCTAGTCTACTTTTTTTTTTTTTTTACAATATTTGAGTTTTCTCTGCATAACTTTGCAATCATTACCTGTGGAACCTGGGGTAAGGAGTGAATGTCAAGGGAGTAAGAGTATTTTGCCTTTTTTTTTTTTTGTACAGGTGTCTCTGTAGCTTTGGAGCCTGTCCTGGAACTAGCTCTTGTAGGCCAGGCTGGTCTCGAATTCACAGAGGTCTTCCTGTCTCTGCCTCCCTAACACTGAGATTAAAGGCATACGCCACCACTGTCCGGCAACACATTTTAAAAACAGATAAATAGGAAGGAAAAGCATTCATGCCATATGGTATGGTATGATCCTAGGCAAGGAGGTATGACATTAGTATAGATGACACAAATGGCTGGTGCTGGCAAAAGGGGTGAAAGGTTAACCCAGCAGATAACCTTCCAGGACAGATTTTGGTCTTCTCTGGGTTGCAAAATTTATTCCTCCACCCCTTTCCACAGGCCGGTTCCCTGGCTTGCTCTCAAAGGATATGTTTGGAAGATACACAGACTGACTCAGCCAGCCATCCTTAGAGAAGCTAGCTGGAGTCGAATTTTGCCTATTTGCGCGGAATGCGTACAAACGGCCGCGCCAGGAGTAGAAATCAGGCAGCCTTGTACACACAAGCTTCTGCAGACACAATAGTGAGCAATCTGTGAATGAGCAAGAGGATAAACCCAACCAATCAGGGCCCAGTAGACCTCAGCCAATCCTAGCTCAGCGATGTTTTAGGCTGGGCGGGGTTGACCCCCGACAGAGTTGTTTGTTGGCCTGGTGCCCCTCCCCCACAGCCCTGGCCTCCAGTTCTAGAGAGAGCTAGAGGTCTGGAAGCGGCTGAGAGACCCGCAAAGTAGATTAAGCCAAACGTGCAGGCAGAGAACGCTAAACCTGGCCTGCTGCAGCCATGGCAACGCCGCATTTGCCTTGTATAATGTGTCCAGGACATCCTAGGACGGGTAGCCTCAGGAGTAAGAGGGTCTAGAACCGTGGTTGTTCAACCTTCCTAAGGCTGCGACCCTTTAATACAGTTCCTTATGTTGTGGTGACTCTCCAACCATAAAATTATTTTCGTTTCTACTTCATAACTGTAATTTCGCGACTGCTATGAATTATAATGTAAGTCTTTTTGGAGATTGAAGTTTGCCAAAGGGGTCGCGACCCACAGGTTGAGAACCACTGGTTTAGAAGGTTATGTGGCTTCTCTCCCTAAAAAAAAAAAAAAAAAAAAGAAGAAGAAGAAGAAGAAGAAGAAGAAGACTGATGTTCGGGAGGGTGGGATTGATCAGGAGAGCTGTACTCCAGTCCTTACAGAGGATGCAGTAAAGGTGGAGATACAGTAAGGGGAGATGGAATACCTCCCCGAGGAAGATGTCTATACTGAGACTATACACAGCCTGTTTCCTGGCCTCTTGGTTCTCTCGGATTCTAGTCTGAAGCCCGCCCACCACATCTCAAGTTATCTCCAACTGGTAGCTTTTCCAACGTGTCTTCCACCAGATTTTCTCACTCCTGAGATGAGGCTGGATAATAGTCCCGCCCAAATTGATATTGTCATAAAAGGGAGAGGGCTGGCAGTGTGGTTCAGTGCAGAGAGCACTTGCCCACTACGTGAACTACGTATCTGGTTCGATGCCTAGCATGGCCCAAACAAAGGCAAAACTAGCGAAGATGGGGATTGAGGTTCTAGTTGCTGGAGAGATGGCTCAGCAGTTAATAGCTCTGGCTGTTCCTCCAGAGAACGTGGGTCCGATACCCAGAACTCATGTGCCATTTAACAACTGTCTGTAACACCAGTCCCAGAAGGTCAGTGGTGAGGAACAGGGCAGTAGGCAAACAAACATTCGTGCAAACACCCATACACATAAAATCTTTGAGTTTGAGGTCCCATACTCTGTATCAGGCCTTGTGCTAAGCATTCTGTATTTGATTAGATAAAACTGGCCTAGGTCTGTAGCTAGTGTTTTACTTGTCACCTTGCCAGGTTGACAGGTAAACCTGTGGGGGACTATCCTGATTGTGCCAGTTGTGTTGGAAAGACCCACCTACTTTGAGGGGCCCCATTCTCTTTTTAAAAGTTTTTAAGAATTCCACCACGCAGTGGTGGCGCATGCCTTTAATCCCAGTACTTGAGAGGCAGTGGCAGGCAGATCTCTGTGAGTTCGAGGCCAGCCTGCTCTACAAAGCAAGTGCCAGTATAGGCTACAAAGCTACACAGAGAAACCCTGTCTCAAACAAAAAAGGTTTTGAAAAATTGAAGTATTTTTAATTACGTGTATGTGCGTTTATGTGTTTGCACATGTGCACAGGTCAGAAGTCAGGTGTTGGATCACCTAGAGCTGGAGTTCTAGGCAGCTGTGAGCTTCCAGATGTGGGTGCTGGCAATCAAACGTGGGTCCTGTGGAACAGCTGTAGGTGTCCCACTTCCCAAGCTCAGGCAGCACTCAGACCTGAGCAGTCAGCGCCTGCCAGGGCCATTCCAGAGGTGCTGAGGTTTACATATCCACATGGGTGCAAAGGTGGTTCTTTCAGTCTATAAACGCCTTAAAAAAGAAAGGGACAGAATGCTGGGCCAGACCCGGAACTGATCAGACCAGTGGTCCTTGAGGATAGCAAAGTGAAAACCTCTACCTCTCTATATCTTGAACTCAAGTTTCCCCACAGGACCAAATTGCAAAGCCTCTGAAGAACAAAATCAGATACATGGGGCTGGATCAACTAACAACTTGGTGAAATAAAACTTCCCTTATTCCCAAGACAAAAGCATCACATGTAATATAATTCCTCTAGTTGTATTCAGAATCAATAAAGAGACTAAAGCAATTACCATGGAAATCTGGAGGCACCCAAAACTTTTCCATTAAACAAAGTGTCAGAATCTTGATTTGCTGCTTAGTGATGTTGTCACTTGGGTGCTTGTCACATCTGCCTTAACCACCTCCCTGGAGACTTTACATGACAACTGATGTCGATCTACCCTTGCCTGGCTTTTTGTCAGTCCTTAGTGGGACTGTGTGGAGGGGTGAGTACCCTTCTGTAGTCCGGGGCCTTTCCTCTCGCCCTTCTCTATGGCAACCCTCCCTTTCCAGCCCAGGGACAGGCACGCACACCTGAGGAAGTAGTACTTCACTCATTTTTCTACCATCACAGTGAACTGATGAAGCTTCTGCAGTATTAAGCAATCCATCATAACAGTTGTGACTGGTTAACTTTAATTTGTCAAAATAAATCTGCAGTATTTTGCATGTTAGTAATACAGTGCTGGTATTGACAGGTAAAATCATCATCTGCGTACATAGAAACCTTCATTTAGGAGCACACCTTAGGAGGAAATGAATACACAGTAAAAGGTAAACGCAGGCCAAGCAGCGAGCGCTAGAGCAAGCATAACAGGCTGGATGTCAGATTTGAGGATTATCTAATACAACCGTTTAGCTGCCAATCTGATAAAGGGGAAGCTCTCCACCAGGTTACAACCAGGAGGGAAAACATACTCTGCCGTTTTGTAGAGTGGTGGCCATTGGTGCCTTCAACACATGGTTGAATCAGTTCATCAGCATCACAGCTCAGTTCCAGTTCCAGGACACAGGAGGATCTTACCACACCACCTGTTTGCGCCCCCTTTGCAATGGCCTACCCGCACCCCATCCTGCCATCAACTCTCTCCCTCCCCAAAGAAGACACAACGTGGCTTTATTATTGCAGACAAGCTTCTTAAGTGAATAGAGTATGCATACAAAATAGCATTTTATCTGAAGTCATACATGAAGTCTCACTCCTGTTTACAATGAATTGATAAAACAATCATTTCTAGTATATATCTTTTTCCCCCATAAGAACTAATACTCTCAGGGTCTTCTGACCACGCTGTAGCCTGGGGGAAGGGCCCATACCTGCCCACTTTGAGGACTGCTCCTTGAACCACTGTGGAGGAAGCCTGGGCTGTCTATGAAGAATCACAACTGCCACCAGAACAGAGATGGCAGGGCCCAGCAGACAGAGCACATGCCAGGAAATGAGGGCTTCCTCCACATGTGACCACTCCTCTTCCAGGTCTCAGCAGTGCCGTTCCCGGGCCTTCCCCACATGAGCCCTTCCAGTAGCTCACACATAATGATCTACATATTAAAAACAAACCAACTTCCAACTGTGGATAAGAACTGCTGTAACAAAGTCATAGCTACATATTTTTCTCTACATTTTGTTTATTGAGACAAACTAATTAAAAGGCACAAACATAGGGTATGTTTACATGGACATTATAACAAACATATACATTAAAAGTGTAGGAATGTGTTGCCTTCCTGCTAAACAGAAAGTTCCTAAGCTTTATATATACAAAAGTTGTACAATTTAATGTCCTAAAGTACAAAAGATCATTTATAAAATTATTTTACACTAGGTACTATTTATTTTAATTTTTTTTTTACTATGTAGTTCATCCCCCTAGAACTGTTTTGTATAATGACACACAGATACCTGTCCCTGATGTAGGAAGTCTGTCTCAGATGCAGGGTATTTTGATGGTTGTACTGACACAGTGGGATATAAACGGAAGTCATCTGGTGTGAGTCCTGCAAGCATTCTGCAGGGTTAACAAAACTCATTTCCATTTCTCTTAACTGCAAAATTAAAAATGAGAAAGACCCAAAACATATTGCAATGTAAAAAAAAAAAACAAACAACAATACAGCATCTTGGTTTGAAAGAACTCTTCTTTAACCCAATGCTTTAAAAACATGACGTGTGGCATGATGGCGTAAAGAGTATCTGTTTCCCTAGCTTTTGGTTTCTACCGTATGTACAGGGATAAAGCATCCGGCTAAGAAACAAAAGCACATGTTTCAACGTGCACAATCATTGCTGGGTTTCCATGGAGCATGTAGACAGCTGCCTCCCTGAAAACTCCAGAAAGCAGATACAAGTGTTTTCTTAAAAGAAAAAAAAAAGTGATGTCCATATTTACAAAGTTGAACAAATCTGCACAATACTTGATTAGACAGAGGAGGGAGAAAAGATACACTCTGCTTGTTCTGAAGGGGCATCCTACCTAGTTAGTGGTTAGAATAAAAACTGTATACAATTTAATATAAGACATAAACTCTAGTGAGCGTCTAACACATCTGTGCCTGTTGTAACATCAACAGGCGCTGATTGGGAGAGAGAGGGGCCTATCACATCCCAGTGCCTCCAATGTCTTCCAATTTAAAGCAATAGATTTAAACTGTTCCAAAGTCCTCGTTGCTCCTGAACAGGAACCACTGGCCTGCGTTTGGAGCCTGCCTGTGTGCACACCTGACTTCTCCTAAGTCAGCTGCAGCCTTCTCATCAAAGCACAATTTGTTTTTGATTTTTTTTTTAAAGTTTTTGTTGTTTTTTTTAAAAAGTCAACTACAATGCTATATTCCATCAGGATTAATATGTTGAGCAATATTTACATCTCCAAATATCAGGTCACAATCCCTATTATATGTTGAAGTTAGAATGATAAATTATCATATGCTTTGCATATCAGAGCTGGTATCACCTTTCCCATAGGGAATGCTGCCTGAAATTAACATATTCCCAAAGGTAAAATGCATATTCTCTGAAATGCATTTTATTATGACAATGCATCTATTTACTCAAACAAACAAAAAAACACAGACAATTCTACACTAGCTCTCATTCTGTGGGTTTAGAACTTCAGGTTAAAACCACCCATCTTGTACAGAGGGTAAAGCTCTGCTAGTGTTTACAATAAAATGATTTTGTAGGATTAAAACAATAATAATTAAAAACAAATAATGCTTTTTTTTCCTTTTGAAATGGGTTTTATGATTGGTTTTAATTCTGGCATTTCACCTTGCCAGCTACTATCCTGTTTAAGCAATGGGGTCAGCTAAAAGGGGTTCTGATTAAACTAATGTGGTCCAGTGATAAGTTACACATATACCCTACTTTGAACAACCCCAGCCAAATTGGAGCAAAATGCTACTACACTCTTATTAACTAACATAATAAAACCTCCCAATTTCATAGTCTGCCTTTTGCTTTAATCAACTAAAATTAAGTTGCTGGTAAATATTTACTTTAACCCATATTTTGACTTTATAATACTGTTTACCAAGGTGGTGATGTAGGCAAAGCTTGGGGCAAGAAAGGCATGCTTTCTACAGGCCTCATTGCTATATTGAGGGGAGCAGCTAATGTCATAGGTGTGGGCAGGTTCATCGGTGATGTGATGGTGACAGGGTGTGCTATATTCACCGGGGCAGTTACAGGGGTGGGGAGGTTGACTGGGGTTGTGAGTGTTAAAGGAGAGGTCATGGATAATGGACTGGTTATAGTTACAGGATGCCCAATGTTCATCGGGCTGGTTATATTAACTGCACTTGAAACATTTACTGGACTTCTCATGCTCATTGCAGCTGCCACTGTGACTGGGTTTGACATAGTCCCAGACGACACAGAGGAGGTTATATTGAATGGAGTAGTGAGAGTCACAGGTGTCGTAGCAGCCGTGGAGGTTTGGCACAGGTTGGCAGCTTCTAAAATGAGAAGACAAAAGGGACTTTAGACTCTCATAACTATAAGCAAAATTCAGCTTCTGAATTAACTTTTCTTAATTAAAAAGAACATTTAAGAAACCAAATTACAGTTTCTACCAAGTGATCAAATACGAAGAGAGGATCTTCTGAGCATAGTCCTGGGGCAGGGATCCCACTGTATGAATCTCTTCTCTGATGCCTCGGAAGACTTGGGCAACTTGTTCATTTCTGGACTTCTAATTTCAGTTCAGATTTACTACCCACCTCAGAGATGCTGAGAGGACCAGTGACTTCTGCATGGCGCTCTGGGGAGCAGAGGCACTGAGTAAGCTAAGTGTCCTCACTGCCTTCATGCCTTCTGAGTTCTACACCCTTTCCTGGGACAGTCAATCACAAGCAGGCTGGCAGGAAAGACTTGTCTACACTGTGCCACCAGTGAGTTCTCAAAAGGCACATTAACTAGCAAAGAGGTGTATGTACTCACACAAACAAATGTTAAATGACTTCTTCAATGTGAAGCCACATTCCGTTGAGGCTTTAAAAATGGGTGAAGAATGATAAACTTTATTTCAGTGTCTGTTTGAGTCAGAGGAGTTAACTAATGTTATAGTTCATAATGTTTCTTTTGTTTTCAAGATGGAGGTCTATGTACCCTTGGCTGTCCTGGAACTGGTTATGTAGCCCAGGCTGGTCTCAGAGATCTTCTGTCTGCCTCTGCCTCCACAGTGCTGGGATTAAAGGCATGCACCATAATGACTGGCTTAAAAAACTTCTTCTGCTAAGGAAAAGCTACTACTCGGTAGTTGTGTTCTCCTTTCCTTCTCACCCCTACTTCCTCTTCTTTCTAATACTGATATAATCACCTACTTCATGCCCAATAGCATCTAACAGCACACATTACACACATCACCAAGCATACCAAGTTGGACTAACTTGGGGAAGGAAATCCTGTGGCATGTTAGGGAAACCCAGTCCTTTTTATTCAGCAATGCCCGAACAGATCCCTGGGGCTGGAGAGCTGGCTCAGCAGTTAAGAGCACATGTTGCTCTTATAGACAACCTGGGTTCAATTACTAGCACCTCCACAGTGGCTCAAAAACAATCTGTAACTCCAGTTCCAGGAGGACCTGAAGCCCTATTCTGGCTTCTGAAAGCACCAGACACGCATGTGGCACACATGCGTATAATCAGGCAGAACATTCACACACATAAATAATAAAATATTAAAAAAAAAAAAGAAAAAAGATTCCTGGCAGATGACATCCTACTTCACCCACTCAAGAAAATTCAGCACCACCTATCAAGATGCCATAGATTGGCAGTAAGGAGACACACCCGGGACACCCACTCAAGTCTACACTAGAGGAGTCTGCACAGGGTCCACAGAGGGGTCGAACCACTTCAGGCAGTCAGCCATCCTTTGATTGGTCTGACCTTATCTGGCCTGCTCTGTACTACATACCAGGAGTTGCCAAACAAGAATGATGATGAAATCCATCTAGGGAGGCTCTTTTTATTTTTTTAAAAGCTTCCTCAATGATAATCTGATTTTCATCCAGGTTTGGGAATTTGAAATTTACCCAGGTCTAATATTTAAAGAACATTTCTGGCTGGGTGTGGAGCTCTGGGTTCAGGGCCAGCCTGGTTTACATAGGGACCTCTAGGGCAGTTAGGGCTAAATAGTGAGACCCTGTCTCAAAAAAATTAAAACACACAAACAGTGACACTCTAAAATCAAGTTTAGATTTTCATGAGGTTCTCAACATAGCAGTCTCCTCTTTCCCAAAATGTAATGTTTACTAACAGAGAGAGACCCCAGCTACAAATGGGAACACAATAGCATTTTGTTTAATGAAGGTCAGAATGAGTTAAACAATCAAGTCTTATTGTGCAAAGCAAGCTGAAATACAACAGGGAACACAAATGCAGAAAGTGAGGATGGGAGAAGGCCCATCGCTTCCTGGGTGACAGTCTCTCTGCTGACGTCCTCTCCTTGTGCTCTGCTCTGAGGAAGGCGTTTCTGTCTCCTGTGCTACTTTCTTGCCTTCCCTACAGTCTTCATTTCACTCTAGAGGATTAAACCTTTGGTACTGGACATAGAAGGCAAATGCTGACCACTGGGCTGTGCCCTGATTCTCAAGCATCCTTCTACTATGACTTCAAATACTTTTATTCCTTCTTTAGTGAAAATATCCTTCACAATATTCCTTCAACTACTACACAATTATTGTCATCTAAACTTCTATAACAAAATCCTCAACAGCAGAGGTGCAGATAGGTTAAGGTAGATAAAGCAGATAAAAGGTGAGACCAAGAGCCAACAGAAAAGATAGCAAGACAGTAAGGTCTGAATCATGCACCAAATAATCAACACAGGACCAGTCCTGAGAAACAGGAAATCAGCAATGAGAAAATGAACTCACACAAGGATAGCTCATCTACCTCAAAATGGTAATATTTTAGAAATTAAGAAAAGAGCCCATTGGGTGATGATGGCACACACCTTTAATCCCAGTACTTGGGAGGAAGAGGCAGGTAGATCTCTATGAGTTTGAGGTCATCCTGGTCTACTTAGAGAATTCCAGGACAGTCAAAGTGACACAGAGAGACCCTATCTTAAAACAAAAAAGGAACGCTTAACACAAGGACACTGACATAAAAAGGAACTATAAGCATACCAACCTTGACTGTATATGTAACAAAAAGTAAATCCAGAGAAAGAACAAGGCAGGAAACGCTGAGGACTTTCATTTCCCAGTAACAAAACCCTAAATGGAAGCTCTGTTGCCAATAATTAGATTATACCAAACATTGGTCATAAGCAGCATTGTGAAGCTAGACTCCTCGTCCTCTCTGTCACCTGGAGTATTAATCAAACACTCCTTGAGCCACACGTGGAGCACTGGAAGCCCCTTCTTACCTTTCTTTCTTGCTTTGACAGCTTCTTCCCACAATCTCAGTGTCTCTACCTGCTTCCCTGGCCAGCTCGTCACATGTTGTTGCTGTTGCTGCTGCTGCTGCTGCTGTTGCTGTTGCTGTTGCTGCTGCTGCTTTTGATTGCTGGTCTCTTCACTCATGCATGCTATTCCAAAGACAAATCACAAATATTGTGTTTACCTTAAAAGAGTGTAACCATGTTTTCAAACCCAAACCTAGGAGCTAGAGATATAATAAGTCAGCTGCTACAGTGCCTGGCTAACATGCAGGAAGAAGACCTGATTTCATTCTCAGTATAAGACCCTATCAAAAACAAAAGCAAAGAAATCCAAGCCAGAAGTGTTGCTGCACACCTTTAATCTCAGTATTCAGGAGGCAGAGGCAGGTGGATCTCCACGTGGATCAACCAGTCTGGTGCTCTACACTGTGAGTTCTAAAAGCCAAGACTACATAGTGAGAATTTATTTCAGAAACAAGTAAGCAAGCAAGCAAACAATCCCACCCAAACACAGATGTTTTGACTCCTTGTGCCTTTATGGCTATTGTCATTTAACTAATTGCTCCTAATGTAGTGAATCTTTTTTCTTGCTTGTGTCTATACTGAATAAAACAAATAAATTCCACTAAAAGTCAGGAAATGAGCAGCAAGATGGCTCAGCAAGTAAAGGCACCTGGCACCAAGCCTGATGTTCTGAGCTGAATCCCTAGAACCTATGTGGTGGGAGGAGAGAACCAACTCTCCAAAGTTTTCCTCTGACCTCCACACTTGCACTGTGGTATATGTGTGCACACACACTAAACAAATAAAACATCATTTTAAATAATCTGTAGAACTAGAGAAAACTAATATAAAAAAGAAAAGAAAATTTTGCTATATTAAAAAGGAATTATCTTTGAAAAAGGAAGTTGGATAATGTTAGTTAGCATGGGCTCAATATTTAATAAACTATCAAATAGATTTGTTTAACCACAGATATATATATTAAAACAAACTTTTATAAAGTATAGCAAGCTAGATAATGAACCCGATATACTCACAAAAATGCAAAAGTAGATGGGATTAAAACACATTAAGCTAGTCAGGTATGAGGCACATACCTTTAATACCAATATTTGGGAGGCAGAGAAAGGCAGATCGCTGAGTTCCAAGTCAGTCAAGGCTACAAGAGTAAAACAAAACAAAACAAAACAAAACAAAAAATATTAAGCCGGGTGGTGGTAGCACTCGGGAGGCTGAGACAGGTGGATCTTTGTAAGTTCGAGACCAGCCTAGTCTAGGACAGGCTTCAAAGCTACAGAGAAACCCTGTCTCGAAAAAAAACAAAACAAACAAACAAAAAACCCACATATTAAACTTTCCCATTCACTGAAGCCATTCATGATCATTTATTTAGAGAATTCAATATTTCTGTTGCATGAAATATATTTGTAATAAGATACAGAATTATGAAAATAGTCTTCCAGTGGTTAAGGAAATTTTTAAAACAAAAAGTTATGTATATTAAGTATTAAATTTTATCTTCAAGTCTGAATTTAATCCTTCTCTCTGTGTGTGTGTCTGTGTGAGTGAAAAGGTCTCACATAGGAAAACTGTCTCTGTTGGTGATGTGAGCCTTGAACTCCTGACTCTCCTGGTCCCATCTTCCAAGTGCTAGGATTACAACTATATGCCACAGTTTATTATTATCATATTATATTACTTTGTCACAGGCTAGCCTCAAATGTGCTTTATAGCCAACTCTGATCTTGAACTTCTGATACTTCTGCTTCTAGCTCCCATGCTCCAGGAATATAGGTGTGAACCATGACACCTAGCTGCTGCAATTCCAAGCACCAGAGCTCTGATTCAAACCTCAAACAAAACAATGAAAATAGCTGGGATGAAATTCTGCCCTGTGGGTATAATTAGTAGTAGACAAGTATAGGACTAGAAATGAATGAATGGAGAATGTAACAATGCTGTTTGCATACATGGTTTAAAGCACAGTTCCAACACCAACCCGCTCTCTCCATTGATGCCTGCTTGCCTATTCTGGTGATGGGAGGAAACAAGATGAACATTAATACATTCCCATGAGCATAGTCAAAATATCTTTGACATATTGAAAAAAGAAGCCTACATTTCATCAATATGAAATGCAAAACAGTCTGAAACATCACCTACTTTTACTGATGCCTTGTTTACACGTATTACAGTTGATACTTTGGCTCTGCCCATGTGTCTTTAAGTGGCTGGTGATGTATGCTGCACTCAAGAGCTTCCCACAGATGTTACATGATACTTTGCCTTCGTGGCGCACCATGTGTGTCCGTAGTCTGTCTTTGGTGGCAAAGGCAGCAGTGCACGTCTGCATGAGGGAAGAAAACTTTTTTTAAATATAGACTATCCTGTTCAACTCATTTTAAAGTACGTATATTCTGCACATTACCCCTACCCACATCAGCAAACTTGGCTGAACTAGTCTAATTTTCATCGCATGAGTTACTGAGAATCACCAATCATTCTAAAACAGCTGGTGATTTTAGATGCTTCTATTTTGGAGGAAGAAAATGCATCAACACAGAGTAGTGAAAAGATGAGGCTCACACTGAGTTAAACCTAGATTTAGGGCTGGGCAGAGGGCTCAGTGATAGAGTAACTGCCTCGTGGGTTCAATTCCCAGCACTGCAAGAGCAAAGCCAAACAAGACAAAAACAAAAGCCTGGATTTAAACTGAGTTTCACAAATCACTAAACAGTGTAATGCTGAACAAGACAGTTAATCTGTCTGATGTCTCTATGGAACAGGGACAACACCTATCACAGAATTCCTGGCAGACGAAGAGCTTGGTTCACAGAGTAGTATTCAGTGAATGACACTGTCGTCCTTCCTTCAATTAGATTGTTCTTAGAATTCAAGTCATTTGCTTAATAAAATCAGTCATTAATAAACAACCGAAAGGAGCACTAAAGAACTTCCAACAACAAATTAGGATCAGGAATGCCTAAAACGGTCATTTGAGCGTGCAAAATTCTTAACTTTTTCATTATCACAATTTATGCCTAATAAAAATCACTGATCTGAATACATCCTCCAATTTGGTAAAAGCAAACAACAATCTAATAAATAATAACACTTATTCCAGTGATAATAGAAAATGCACTGTAAAATTTCCCCTTCTCCGGGCTGGAGAACAGTGGCTGCTCTTGCAGAGGAACCAGGTTTAGTTCCCAGTACTCACATGGTGGCTCATAAGCACCTGTAACTCCAGTTCCAGGGGATCCAACAACCTCGTTTGCCTTCCTTGGGCACCAAGCATGTACATGGTGCACATACATACATGCAGGCAAACATTCATATACACAGCATAAAAAAATAACAAAAGGAGTTGGAGAGATGACCTGGAAGTAAAGAGCACTGGCTGCTCTTGTAGAGGGCCCAAGTTCAGTTCCTAGCACCCACGTCGTGGTTCACAACCTTCTATGACTCCAGTTCCAGGAAATTTGATGCCTTCTTCTGACCTACTTAGGCTCCTGAGTGCATATTGTACACATATATACATTCAAGTATACACACATACATATAAAGTAAGTACTTTTTTAATTACAAAAAAATTTCCCCTCTTAAACCAAAAAATGTCATTGTCCAAGGAAAGGGAAACACAGTCACACAAAAATAATAAACTTATATTTAAAATCGATCTTAATATACAATATATATACATATATATGTGTATATATATATGTATATATACTATCTTAATATTACAAAACTAGAATTCCAATGAACCACATTCACTCCAATCTGTGACTTGAAGACTGTTCAAGAACCATAAGATTTGAGCGGCTCCGACTTTCTGGACAATGTGTACCAGGTGCGACGCTAAGGATAAGTCATTTTAACTCTTACTTGGCATTTGAAGGGTCTTTCTGTTGAATGCACATGTTTTACATGACAGCTTAGGTGGTCAGGCCTGTAAAAGAGTTTCAAACGGAAGATGTAACGGAATACTCGGAGAAAACGCCGCTCATGTGATGCTGCGCCTTGGCAAACTACAGGGGAGCATCCTGCAGAAAGCAAGGATTACCAACTCCCCCACCCTCAGCGCAAATCTCCTCACCTCTCACATCACAAACCCAAGTCTTAGTCCTTCACCTGTTATTCTTCTTCTAGTCAACATCAGATCATACTAAAGTTCTGATTCTTTACAACACAAACACTCAGAAGTCGAAGTTTCAATACCAGGAATAACTACCACTGTGTTAACTCTAAGAGCTTTTTTCATTTTTTTTTTAAAGTGAAAAAGTACACATATAAAATGGGGCTAGAGAGTGGGAGAAAAAGCCTCTTAAAAGTTACATTAAGGAAAAAAAAGTTGCATTAAGAGTATGCAAAGTCTCTCTGATTTGCAGTAATCCTCATATCGGGTTCTCCAAACTGAACTAAAAACTGGCAAGACTTTTGAAATGTTAAGAATCCTTATGCCAAATGAAGGCCTGGTTCTACCAAAGTCCCTCCTTAAGTGATCTGACAGGTTAACTGCTATGTTCCACTAGTCAGTCATACCAAATCAGAGTTAGACCTAAAAACAGACTTTTTCACCAACTTCCCCTTATAATGAAGACCTGCTCATGTAGCTTTTCACATTAACCTAGATCACAGACACAAACTGGCACTGACTGATGCCATAATGAAAAAGCAATGCAAAATGCAGTACCTTGAGAAGCCTTTCCCACAAACACTGCAAGTATAGGGTTTGGTGATGCCTCCTTCATGAGACCTCACATGGTAAGTCATCCGGTCCTTCCTCTTGAAGCGCTGATTACAAATAGGACACTCAAAGGGCTTTTCGTCCGAATGGGAAAGCTTGTGCCGATTGAGATGGTACACATCCCGGAAGGCCTTCCCACACATCTCACAGGCGTGGTTCTTCTTGACGGGCTTACTGGGTTTCTTGACAGACTGGGGCACAGGCATTGCTGTGGTGCTGGCACTGCTACTGGGGTTGGTGCCCGAGGAAGATGTAGTGACTGTTGATAAGATGCCTGCAATAGTTGAAACCAACGAAGTTCGGCTGCTGTCTCCAGCGATGGTGGAGATAAGGGGAACCACTGTGGTGGGAGTTTTCTTTGCCCGAGACACCAGCTTGATTCCTGTGTGGCAGGACTGATGACGCCTCAGGTGATAGCTGTCCCTGAATGCTTTACTGCAGTAAGTGCACACAAATGAAGTTTTGGGTTTTTCTTTTTTAATCCCAATGGCATCCTTTAATGTTTCTGGTGCAGCCTGAGGTTTCTGAGTTATTGGTATTGGAAGCAACGGTTTCTGATCAGGGGGCTCCACAGCAGAACTCAGGAGGGGCAGCAAGCTGTTCTGTGCTGCCTGCTGTTGGTGATGGGAGGCTTCATGGGCCTAAAACCAAACATTTACACTTGAGAAACTGAGCCTCTTGGAGTGACCTTAACCATTCAACATGCTCCAGACGAGAGAGAGCAGAAGCCACAGTCCCGAGTCTGTGAGCTGCCCTCTGTCACAGAGCTGCAGCGACCACCTGCTCTCAAGAACTCTGGGTACAAAACACTGAAAATCGCTGTTGGTCAAAATGTTTGCATCTACACTGCTGACAGCAATCATACTTTCAAACAGCTGACTAAAGTACACACTATCCTGGCTCATGAGAGACATTAGTCGATGAAATCAGTGCGCATTTGACTGCCAATACTGAAACCAAGCTTAAATAACTTGTCAAAAAAAAGAGTACATGCCAGATCTAAGTATTTAATAGTATCTTAGATTGTGACAATATACAAACCCTGTATATGATTAACAAGATCATCTACTTGTCTGTTACGAAGGGCATAAAAAGCACCAAGTCTCTCGCTCTCTATCAGAAGAAAACTAGTGATTGAGAAAGGGCCTGCTAAGCAATGAAAGAAATGTAGCTCTGTGAATTCATCCGCTAGCTGTTATAAAGCCCATCACTTAATTCTACTGAAAGATGCGGCTGACATGAAAGCTGCCATTTGTCACTGGAAAGGCATCTGTGAAGGTGGCAAACACCTGGCATCTGCTTCTCAGATCAGGAAGCCTCTACTAGAGTTTGCATCCTTTACCAACACTAGCAAACGAGAAAACAAACTGCAGCCACTCAAGCGCACCTCTTCCAGGAGCGGCTGTGACACAGCAGTAGATACATGCTTCTCTACTTTAGAACCTTAGCTGGACCACTGTTTGGAAATTTTAGAAAACGATGGAAAAAGTTCTTGAAATAGCTCTTCCTAATATGTTGCTCTTTACCAACTTTATTTTTTAAATATTTGACAGTGAGCCCAAGCCCCTATGCTTGAGTTTTGTAATCCTAAAAGGATCAAGCTAAGAGTTCCAAATATTTTAAGCATATAACATCCTAGGAAGAGCCCATCCCATCATCGTAGACATGTGACAGTTTTCTTACCCTTCATACACTGTATTCACTTGATTACCTAAGTTATTAAAGACACAGACAACGAAACAACAAGCACCCAAGGAAGCTAGGCAGAGCTTCTCTTCAGACGGTCAAGAACATCCATTTCTCACTTTTCACTTAATTGCAGGTCAGCAGCTGGGCCTGGAACCACTCTTCCCAAAGATTAGGAGGTGTGGTATCCAAAGGTAGCAGTCTGAATTTAACACTCTTGATTTAAAATGTCCTTCAGGCTTTGCAATAACACTTAGAAATTGCAATTACTAATGGGTCTTCTTCCAGATTCAATGTTCACACCAAATTACAGTCCACTTTTCATCTAACGTGTGCAGCTCTTTTAACTTGGAGCCTACCTACCCAAGTGTACTTACAGAATTTGGTTTCTAATCTTACTCTTTTTCGAGCTAAGTAGGATACCCAAGTTTCCATACTGAATACAAACAGTTAAGAGCTGAAGCTAGCTCAAGATATACAATTTCAAAGGCTAACATACCACACACCATGGAATGCAAATCTTCTGGACAAAGTTCAAACTTATAACATTTTGAGCCATTTTTCAATTCTAAACAACCATCAGAAGGACGGAGCACTAAAAGAAATGACTATCATTTTACCAATCCAGGTGTTTGTGCTACACAAATTCTCTCTACAGCACTGCTGACGCTCACACTCGAGGGTCACACCAGGTCCAGGTCCCTGAATAAAATGCTGTAGAACCTACTGGAAGAATCAGCCTCTAAAGATTCCTAGGAGCCCAGCACTTCTCCATAAAGCTGGCTAAGAAGGCAATTTTCCTCAACTTGTTTTCTGAGGAAAAGAGTTAAATAAAAACCATGGCCTGCCTTCAACGAAGTGATTTACTTCTCAAATGCAAGCTCTCAGTTGGCTTTTATTTGACTAGCATCATCACATCAAAGTTTAAATTTTATCTTCTAACTCAAGTGCACAGCTCCAGCCCTGCCCAAGCTTTCCTTTTTCTGGGGCTGGCAAAAACCAAAACAGAAATGTTATTTCATCACCCAGGGTGGTAGGATGTAGAACCATGAAATCTCCATTGCCAGAGGGTAAGAGATTTTGTACTGAAACAAATTAGCATCGGTGAGTCATATCTTGAATGTCCTGTTAGAAGAATCATCCATCAAATATTTTAAGAGCTTCACTTTCACTTTCCACCATGTTATCTGGAAAGCAAGCAGGTTATTAAATTTTGTTTAAAGAAACAAATTCAACAGGATGCTCCGAGAAACAGAGTTGAATTCTCTATTTCCCCAGTGAGAAACTGAAAACTGGCACTGAATGTCTGTTTCCATCTTTCCATAGGAGAGACTGAAGGTCTCTTTCCTCATCGTCCTCAACTCTAAATTACAGCTTTTCCAACAATTTTCACAGCACACACTGCACGCCCAGGATCAAATTTGAGCTTTCACATTTCCTCCTCAGGTGGAAAACAATTAGTAGGTTGGCATTAGCTTTATCCAGGAAAAAAAATAGTTAAGATGGCTTTTTAAAGTATGGAATCTTTCCACTAGCTTCCCAAAGATGAACTGTGGGCTTCTCCTTTACATAAAGAACTCGCTTTGCTCGCTCTCCATTAAGTTCACGGATACTCGGTGTAATAGTGTTTAAACCACTTCTATGGCTCATCAGTCCTTTATTGTAAAATGACCGTCTGTAAGCTTCTTCTAAAGAAGGCGTTTGCCGGCTTTGCACCAACCCCATGAGCTAGTTTTGTATTTCCTTGCCAATACATTCTTAAGTTATCACTTTACTAACAAGCTCATCAAAGCAACCAACACTAGATCAGAATGATAGTGTGGGAAGTTCCAAAATCTTAAGAATTCCCGATTTTAGTAAATCCATTTATTTCACTAATTACTTAGAATCAAAATGTCCATACTTGAAAATATGTCTTAAGACAAGCCAGGTTACACAATAGGTGATTTTGCGTTCTCCAGTTTCCTATATAACTCCACCGGGATGGGACCAGACGCTGAGAAGATAATCTGAGGATTCTGCATTTCCAAAGGGCTCAAAGCGCCCAAGCTACGCGTTTGGAATTTCATGAAGTATTCATAAGAAAATAACGCAAAAGAGGCAGGCGCGAAGGACACACTTTAAAAACGACGAGTTTCCTAACCTTCGGGTCTGAAGTTTCTACGTGAGCTCATCTCTACCGTTCATCAATGTATTTGCAAACAGAAACGAAGCAGGGAAAGAAAGTTCCAAACAGGGGTCCTGCATTAAAGTGGCAGGGGAAGGGTATGGCTAAAGTATCCGCTATAGTAGCTTTGAAGTTTCTAGCCAAAAAGAAAAAAGAAAAAAAAAAGCGAAGATCCACACGCCATGAGTGACTCATCTGGGGGCTTTGTAAGCGGACTTTGCGCTCGCACTCCGCTTCCCGTCGCCCACTGGGCCCGAGCGAACGTTCGAGCGAGCGGGCCGCGAGCGTGCGAGCGAGCGAGCGAGCGAGCAGCGCTCCGAGAAGGTCGAGCCTGCAGGAGTCCCGGCCCCCGCCGCTCCCCGCCCCCGCCCGGCCCCGCCAGCCCGGGGATTCCCCAAGCTCAGTGGGACGGTAGAAGAGCTGGACAGAGGCAAGGGGACCAGCTGCCAGCACTCAGCTAGGACTCGGACTAGGAATGGAAAAAAGTTTGCGGAGGGGAACCACGCTCGCAACACCCCCGGTCGGGCATACCCGAGGGGGCGGCGAGAAGGGGGAGTGGCGGTGAAGCCAGAGATACCCGCTATTCGCGGGATGTGGGAGGAGGGTCAGAAAGTCAACACACAAGCACACACACAAAAAGAGAGGTGACGCGAAAGCGTGAGCAAAAGATGG